CATGCTTTACTATGTCATGGTCACACATTAGGATCTCATTCCTATGCCTTACTAAATGGTGGCCACATATTAGGATCTTGTTCCCATGCTTTATTAAGTCATGGCCACACATTAGGATCTCATTTCCACGTCTTACTAAGTCACGGCCACACATTAGGATCTCGTTCCCGCACCTTACTAAGTCATGGCCACACATTAGGATCTCGTTCCCACACCTTACTAAGTCATTGCCACACATTAGGATCTCGTTCCCGCACCTTACTAAGTCATGGCCACACATTAGGATCTCGTTCCCATGCCTTACTAAGTCATGGCCACACATTAGGATCTTGTTCTCATGCTTTACTATGTCATGGCCACACATTAGGATCTCATTCCTGTGCCTTACTAAATGGTGGCCACATATTAGGATCTCGTTCCCATGCTTTATTAAGTCATGGCCACACATTAGGATCACATTTCCACGTCTGACTAAGTCATGGCCACACATTAGGATCTCATTCCCACATTTTACTAAGTCATGGCAGGACTTAATTGTCCCCACCCCTTACTAAGTCATGGCCACACATTAGGATCTCGTTCCCGCACCTTACTAAGTCATGGCCACACATTAGGATCTCGTTCCCACGCCTTACTAAGTCATGGCCACACATTAGGATCTTGTTCTCATGCTTTACTAAGTCATGGCCACACATTAGGATCTCATTCCTGTGCCTTACTAAATGGTGGCCACATATTAGGATCTCGTTCCCATGCTTTATTAAGTCATGGCCACACATTAGGATCACATTTCCACGTCTGACTAAGTCATGGCCACACATTAGGATCTCATTCCCACATCTTACTAAGTCATGGCAGGACTTAATTATCTTGTCCCCACCCCTTACTAAGTCATGGCCACACATTAGGATCTCGTTCCCGCACCTTACTAAGTCATGGCCACACATTAGGATCTCGTTCCCACGCCTTACTAAGTCATGGCCACACATTAGGATCTTGTTCTCATGCTTTACTAAGTCATGGCCACACATTAGGATCTCATTCCCACATCTTAGTAAGTCATGGCAGGACTTAATTATCGTGTTCCCACACCTTACTAAGTCGTGGCCACACATTAGGATCTCACTCCCATGTCTTACTAAGTCATGGCAGAACTTAATTATCGTGTTCCCACACCTTACTAAGTTGTGGCCACACATTAGGATCTCATTTCCACGTCTTACTAAGCCATGGCCACACATTAGGATCTCATCCCCACACCTTACTAAATCATGGCCACACATTATTTTTCATTTATACGGGATGTCACTAGCAGGGCTCTGTGCTTTAATAAGGGCAGTGGTTCTAATTAGTTCTATATAGAACCATTTGCCTGCTTAAATGGTTCTCTGCATGGTGAAATGGTTCTTCAGATTGATGGAGAATGTGTTATAAATGGTTCTCTGTAGCACCAAAAAGGGTTCTGTTATTGTTACAAGCTGGACATTGTAACCCATTCTGGTGCCGTTTAGAACCAACACATTCTCCATCAATCTGAAGAACCTCTTTTTTAAGTGTGTATTTTTCCTCCACAAATTAAAATCCCCCCTTATTGTTTGTGTTTTGGGGGTTTGTAATTATTTTAAACATGGTGGCAGGTTATAGGCTGAGGGGCTTTTACTGTATTTATTTAGTGACCACATATCAGCCCCCCACCCCCAGATTCCTTTACAGTGGTGGTGATAGGAACCAGGGGTCGCCATGACTACAACACAAATATAGACATTTTATTTACTATCCAGAACCACCAGTGAACCTACAAGTGTCTTCTGAGTGTTTATATATATATATATATATATATAATGGTGATGATGGAAAATAGTGGAAAATCTGAAATAATCAGTTTTCTTTGGGGACTATTTTGCCTCACAGCGCCCTGCATGTCTCCCTCCACCATGAATGGATTATAAAAGTAAGGCGTTAAGATGAAGGACAAGTTTTCTTGGTCAAAACTATCATAAACAGGGTCTCAGTCATCAGGCAGTGAATTCATAACCATTTCATGTAGTAAATTTCTGTGAGGGAGCTTTTAGAGGTGGACGTCTGGTTCCTATCACCACCACTGTGAACAGCTCTGACTCAGTAAGTTCCTCTAAAACAGCTTTTCACATCAAACCACTCTGAACCACTCTGTTTACAGCCTAACCAGTTAGTAATGTAGAAATTTGAATAAATGGTGGAGTTCCCCTTTAAGCACTCTCTTGTATGAACCTCAGTCACAAGAATGGATCTCACTGTGCTGGTGAGCTCCTGGTTGATGTTCCTTTCGGTTAGAAACAGGCTGAGCTCTGAGACTCGGGCCTGACTCTCCTCTCTCAGACTCCCTGCAGGAGAATGAAGTCTCCTCCTCTGAGTGAGTGACCCCTCTGCTCACCCCTCACTCCTCCCTTCTCTCCTCCTTTCTCCTTTCCTTCTGCTTTGGCTCTGTTTCCTTTCAGATCCTCGTGCAGTTCAGCTGATCGCAGTGCTGAACTGTGTTCAGACCGAGCTACAGTGGCCCACGTGGCCCAAACCGCGGCCTTTCTCGGCAAATCCTAACGTAAAAGTCCCGGTTTAAAAGCCACGTGACGTGTTTAAAATAGGAAATGTTTGCTGACCTCACAAGCGATTTATTTGTGTTGATGTTAATCTGGTGAAGCTTTACGTAATAATAATAATAATAATAATCATAAGAATAATAATGTTTTAAATAAAATACGTTAAAAATAATAAAATAAATATAAAATAATATTTTTATTGTTAATATGTTTTGACTTTTATAGCTGACTATGGACTTTTTTCTGCGCTATAAAAAGTATATTTATTTAAAATATACTTTTTTTGTCAGGATCTCGTTCCCATGCTTTACTAAGTCAGTTTTAATGTTTTAATATTTTTCCTTTTTGAGGAAATATGACAGCATGTGTTGTAGACATATAAGCTTTAATCAAGGCCATACTGGAATATAAAAAAAAAATTAAATGTTGTTAGAGTTTAAATAAATGTTAAAATATTTTATTAGTACATTTAAATGTATTAAATGAAAATATTAAACTTTATTACATTAAAAATATTTTACAACTTTTTTGTTTTTTTTTATGATTTATTTATTTATTTTTTTTTTTGTGTGTGTTAGTTTTTAGCTCCTAGGGGGCCGTGGGAAAAAAAGACAGATTATGGCGTCGCGTTCCCTCGCAATAATTTTACATTCCCTCGCAAACTGTAAAAAAAGAAAAATTAATCTGAAACCTCTTTAAAAAGTGACCAGGTAACTCAGCCCTGCTGAATTCATTGAAATAAAAATGCCAAGTTAACAAATGTAAAACATTATTCTTTTGTTTTTTGTTGTTCTTTTGTTTTTTGTTGTTCTTTTGTTCTGTGAACTGGATGTTTTTAGAGCTGCGTTTTTCACAGTGCGGTAATTTTGTGTTGCAGTTTTTGCAAAGGAGCTCAAAACTTTTGCGATAGAATTTTTAAAAATCGATGTCGTTTCCCTCTTTGGATAAAACGAGGACGTGTCTAGTAGCTAATTCAGCTCTAATGCGTTAATAGAGGCTATTAAAATATATATTTTTAAACTGTTAGTTAGCTTTTAGCCTTTGTTCTGAAGTTTTTCCCTCTCTGAGAAAAACAGAGGAAAATGTTTCATGCAATATTAGCTGTAATGGAGATCACGGCGCGCGCTATTTAAAATTAAATTAAATTAAATTAAATCATTCATCTTTAATTGGTCAGATTTATCCGTCACTCTGTTTACATCTGAGCTGCTGAACTGTGCAGGAATTTTGAAAGCTAAAAGCGGGTGGAGTTCCCCTTCGCGCAGAGTCACTAGTCCCGCTGTGTGAGACCTGTGTGAGGTTAAAGCTCCTTAACTGAGACATCAGGGGTTTTTGAGGAGCTTTATGGATTACAGACAGGCCTCACGTGCAGCTGAGGGATCAATAATAAACAGTCTGGACTGTCACAGATATTATATCTGCTTTTATTACTCGATCGAATTTACACCGAGAGTCTGAGGGCCGTCGATACACCGACACAGGATATCACCAGAGTATCGATCGGCTATCTGTCTGTCTGTCTGTCTGTCTGTTTATTTATTTATTTATTTATTTCATTTATTTATTTATAATCCGTTTATTTATTCATGCTTATTTATTTTACCTATTTTTTATGTTTACTTTTCATTCATATTTATTTATTTAGACATTTATTTATTCGTCAAACATTTATTTATTTATTTATTTATCAATTTGTTTATTTATTTGTCAAATATATTTTTATTTATCGATTTATCTGTTTATCCTTTTGATTATTTCTCCATTTATTTTTTCTACATTCATTTATTTATTTGTCAAACATCTATTTACCAATATTTTCTCCATTTATTTATTTATTTATTTATCGATTCGGCCGTTTATTTATGTATATTTACTTATTTATATTTATTCATCCATTTATTTATCTGTTTATGTGTTTGTCAAATATTTTCTTATCCATTTTAGTTGTTCATCCTTATTATTATTATTTCAATGTTATTTTATTTATCTATTTATGTATTCCTCCATTTATTTTTTATTATTTCTCCGTTTATTTTTTATTTATTTATTTATTTATCAATTTGTTTATTTCTCTAGATGTAAATATCCTAAATGAATGAGATCTAAAACTAGAGCTGCTAAACCAGACAAAAACATGTTCAGTTTCAGGATAAATTTTTCTTTATGGATAATTTCTTTGTTTTTTTTTTTGTAGTTTAATTTAGTTGGACTTTATTTTTTTAACTTTACTAAATTAAAAGTAAAATTCTGAAACTAAATAAAACAATAAGTGAAATAAGAAACGGCGCCGTGTTAAATGAATGCCGCTGTTATCGTCGCTTCGCTGATCAGTCAGCGAACAACAGTGTCTAAATAATGAGTTATTGTTATTAACATAGTTATAACATGCTTATAACTCTTACTATATACGTTATTATTTTACAGTGTGTTTGAACGGATCTAACTGGACTCGAGTCGTGTGGGCAGCATGTGGCTTTTCTGTAATGAGTGAACTCGTAACTCATACAGGCTACTTTGTTTACCGGACACATTGCCGGACCTTTAATCTGCCGGACCTTCAGTCTGCCGGACACGCTGCCCGCTTTGTCAGAGTGATTATTAGTTATCAGTCCTGATTGATCTCTGATGATTTCAGCGCGGTGAGTCCAGCGCTGTCCTACTTTCCTCTCCGCCGAGTCTGTGGAAGTTCCCCCACCCGCTTTCCGCCTCCTGCGCTTGGATTGGCCAGCGCGGATGAGCCATTAGCCAATCGCAGCGCAGGTGGCGGGATGTTTCCATTCAGTCCGCGCGCTGGAGGCGGAGCTCTGCCCAATACGGGTGGGAAACCAGAGCGTGCAGCGTCTTTACGAGCGGCCTCGCTGTGGAGCGGACAGCGCTGAGTGGACGTGGTTCTTAGACATCTGGAGCAGAACCTCGGACTATAACACTGAAGATGTATATATAGATGTATATTCTAGAACCACGAACGCTCAGAGAACCCTTTTTAAGCCTAAAAGTTCTCTGCATGGCGAAATGTTCTTCATATCGATGGCGAAAGTGCTGTAATGTTTCTGTGAAGCACAAAGGTTCTTCTCCACGCTCACAGTCTTAACAGCATCAGTCTGAAGAACCTTTTTACCATGCAAAGAACCATTTAGCCTGCAATGTCTGTGTATGTTCTACTGTATATATGCTTGTTTATATTTTTGAAGGTGCTTCTGTGTAGCACCAAAACAGGTTCTTTTATATTATAACGATGTCAAGCTTGTAACAATAGCAGAACGCTTTTTGGTGCTATCTAGAACCCAAAAGGTTCTACACAGAACCATATACATTACATACTCCATCAATCTGAAGAACAATTTCACCATGCAAAGAACCATTTAAGCATGAAAATGGTTCTTTGAGTGTTCATGGTTCTATGTGGAACCACTGTCTGTGCTAAAAAACTCTTAAAGAATAATCTTTAAGAATTTGTATGTGTAGCAGAACCCTTTTTGGTGCTACCTTTTCAAAAATGTTCTATACAGAACCATTTACAACACATTCTCGATCAGTCTGAAGAATCGTTTCACCACGCAAAGAACCCTTTAAGCATGAAAAGAGTTCTTTGAGTGTTTATGGTTCTGTATAGAACCATTGTGTTTAACTATTTTTTAAGAGTGTATGTATACACACACACATAACATATATATATATATATATATATATATATATATATATATATATATATATATATATATATATATATATATACACACACTGTGGTAATTCTGTTCTTAGGCCTGTGGTGGGTCTCTAAATGTTCTAGATAATGTACTTAATGTGTCAGAATTGTTCACAGTGGTGGTGATACCCCTACGTCCACCTCTAAAAGCTCCCTCACAGAAACCTTCAGCCTAAACAGTATGTTTTTTAATGCCTTCATGGCGGAGGGATACATGCAGGGAGGTAAACTAGTACCCAAATACGCACCACTACCAGCATTATTTACGCTCACTCACAGGACACGTGAAGGCCCACCGGTCGTTTTGGCAGTAAATAAAATAGCTGTATTTGTGTGGCGACCCCTGGTTCCCATCACCCCCACTGTAAAGAATTCCCACCAGACCCCTCTGAACGTCTCTGTTTACATCTCAGCCGCTGAATAAGGCAGGAATGCGTTCCTACTGAAGATGTTCAGGGTGTAGGCTACTCCGCGCGAAGGCCACGCAGGTCAGTAGGCAGTAGGCTCGTCATCACCCCGTAGACTGTACAGATGAAGGCGCGTCTTCCGTTTTAGCTCGTTTCTTTGTTTAAGTGCTTCCAGGCGTGAATCGCACCGTTGAAGCCGATAAACGACGGGCGATTACAGCGAATTTCCAAATTTGAATTTAAAACTCCCGTCCAGATCGCAAACACACTCCAGTGCTGAAGCGCAACAATATTACGTTCCCTTGCAAAATGATAGCATTCACTCGCAAATATTATGCCATAATTCATTGTATTTGCGAGTGAATGCATCGTTATCGCAAGGGAAATTAAAAGTAGCCCATTTGAAGGGATGCAAGGCTATTGCCGGGGAATGCAAAATAATTGCGAGGGAAATTAAAGAAATTGCGGTGTAATGCGAAATAATTGCGAAGGAAAGTAAAGAAATTGCGAGGTAATGCAAAATAATTGTGAGTGAATGCAAAAATTAAAGTAGCCTAACGGTGAGGGAATGCAAACCTATTTCAAAGGAATGCAAAATAATTGAGAGGGAATGCAAAGTAATTGCTAGAGAAATAAAAATAATTGTGAAGGAATCCAAAATAATTGTAAGGGAATGCAAAATAATTGCGAGTGGAATTAAAGTAATTGCAAGGGAATCCAAAATAATTGCAAGGGACTGCAAAATTATTGCGAGAGAAATTAAAAGATGTTTGAGGGAATGCAAAGTAATTGCTAGAGAAATTAAAAGAATTGCGAGGGGATGCTAAATTATTGTGAGGGAGCGCAAAATTATTGCAAAGGAATACAAAAAAAATTGCGAGAGAACTCAAAATCATTGCGCAGGAATGCACTGCTATTATTAGCATATTTTCTTTTACCTCAGGGCTCCATACAAACAAATAGATCTGACTAAATGAAAATCTCCATTGTCTCAGCTTCTTTCCCCAAGTGAGTGGAGCAGTTCTTCTTAATGTTGCCTTATGAATATGCAAATGAATATAAATAAAATCCATCAAATGACGCTGATTAAACTGCCCAGCAAACACAGAGGTTAAAACCAGCTTGCATGGACGCTAATCCACGAAATCACACTTGAAGTGGGCTTACAGGCCTAATGTGGGCCACATACCAGCCACTAACATGTCTTAAAGGGCAATTTCACCTGTTTTTTTTTACATTTCTCCGTAAGTCAATAGCTCAGATGTAAACAGAGACATTCAGAGTGGTTTGGCGTGAAATGCTCCATTCTGGAGAGTCAGAGCTGTTCACAGTGGTGGTGATAGGAACCAGACGTCCACCTCTAAAAATCCCTCATGTCTTGTGTTATGATAGTTTTGTGATAAACCTTTGGGCTACAATGTACTTCTAAGATCCAGTAATGGTGGAGTGATGCGTGTAGGGTGTTATTGGGCAAAATATTCTCCAATAAAACTTATTATGAAGACTCGTGTAGGTTCACTGGTGGTTCTGGATAGTAAATAAAATGTCTATATTTGTGCTGTAGTCATGGCGACCCCTGGTTCCTATCACCACCACTGTAAAGAAATCTGAACCACTTCACACCAAACCACTCTGAATCACTCTGTTTACATCTCACACCCTGAATTACACACATTTTTGGGAAAAATCACTGGGTGTAAGCTGCGCTAAGCTAAAGCAGCTCTGTATAGATATACTTTGCTGAGATTAGCATTTGGCCAACAAAACATTTCTGACTTTTCTGTGCAGAAACAGGTAGGCTCCTCTGTCGTATTGACAAACCAGAGATTTTAATATGGAATATCTTATTCTCTGAACAAGTTAGTCATTTTAAAAAGTACAGGAAGAGACGAACAACAAAAAAAAAGAAAAACAAACACGCCGTACATTGAGTAACCTAGCCTAAATGAAAGTGCAAAAACTGTGGAAATGACACTGGCATTATAAAAACCTCGACCTAGACACTCAAATTACAGTATAAAATAAATTAACAGCCGTTCCAGAATTCCATCGCACAAAATAAAGAGGTAACTGAAACCATGTGGGCTTAAAAATCCTTGTTCAAGTGCTTTGTTCCTGTCTGTTAGCTAATGTTCTCAAGTTTCACATGAAGGCCTGTGTTTCTGATGTGTTCTGTATGAGTATGCTGGCCTTTCTACTTCATTTTAACCCTCTATTGCACAGTGTTGCCAGACGACAACAATTACTTTATCTCAATTATACTAAAATGCAGTAAAACAAAAACTGTATTTTACTATTGGATTGTGGCAAAAAGGGTCTTTTACTTTGAAAGGACAAATATTTTATGCCACCAGAAAATCTTACTATGATGTTATCATCACCATACACTCCCGATACCAATTTGAAAATGGAATTGTATCGCTTTCCAATATTTGTAAACATTGGGTCGTACGTTTCACTAAGTTGGATTTGTTTGGTCTTGTTTTTAATAAAAGGTTTTTTTTTAGAAAAAAATTGGATTTAACGGTGCTTTTTTTTTTTCTTTTAGATTTTATGGTACTTTCCACGATTGCATAGTGTTGCCTTATGGCAACAATTTACCAAATACCACACTTTAAAAAAAAATCGATTTTTTTTTTCAAATATTTCCATGATTTAAGCAATTTTAAATAACAACAAAACTCCTTAAAACATTTTATCAAGTAATAATTCATGCAGTAGAGGGTTGAGTCTTTAAACCTCCAGGACGAAGCATTTGGAAACATGAGTAAAAATGTCGGACAGAAGGTGACAGTGCCTCTACTCGACATGCTAGCTAACGTGAGGCCGACACTCATGCATCCCTTATGTGGATCTGACGGATTAGAGCGGTACACACTCAAAAAGGTGGTTCTTTAAGGGTTCTTTAGTAAAGGGAATGGTTCTGTTTAGAAACATGAGTTCTAGAGCCATTTACATGCTTAAAGAGTTCTTTGCATGGTGAAATGGTTATTCAGGTTGGTGGAGAATGTGTTGTATATGGTTCTATACACACTGTAAAACACAAGGCTGGGCAGTATGACGATATATCGTTATTATGATAAATCACAATATGCATTTCTAGGCTTATCGTGTATCGTCAGTGCTTGTACACTGACCAACTGCATGTTTTATTATAAACGGAGCTGTTTAAGTGCTAAATACTGAATAAAAATGATTGAGTTATTTTAAAATGTAGCTCTGCTGGTTCTTTTGTCTGTTCCATACTGTAAAAATGGCTCATCAGATCAACCTAAAAATGTACTTTATGCAGTCAAAAAATGCTTTAAAAGAGCTCTTCATTCACGGTATTTATTTAGGTTGAATAAAACTAGTTAATTGGCTTATCACAAAAAGTTATTTTTTTAGGTTGATCTGACAAATCTGTCTGAAAAAATAAATATCATGTATCGTGATAATTTCTTGAAGTATCATGATAATAGATTTTTACCGTATCGCCCACCTCGGTTCAATAACGTATGCGTTTCTGCACATATCATGTAATTTATGCAAATATTTTGAATAAAAATCACTTTTTTATAGTATTTTTAAAATGTAGCACTGCTAGATCTCATCTTTTTCAACTGGTCAGATGTCTGAAAAATAAATATTGTGAAATATCAAGTATCGTGATCATTTCTTGAATTATCGCGATGTTAGATTTTTGCCGTATCGCCCACCTCTAGTTAAATACAGTTGAATACAGTAAGTTTTTCTGAACATATCGTGGATATCATCAGTGCTTGTAGACACTGACCATGTGCATGTTTCATTATAAAGAGAGCAAAATTAGCCCTGTTTAGTTCGATTTATGCAAAATATTGAATAAAATCATGCTCACAGTTTTCGAAAGTACTGTAGCTCAGTTGGATCTTTTTTTCTCTGTTCCAACTGATCAGTCGTCTGAAAAATAAATATCGTGATATATCGAGTGTCATAATTTCTTGGAGTATCGCGATATTAGATTTTTGCTGTATCACCCAGCTCTAGTGAAACATAACTGCACTAACCTAATGTTGTGTTTTACTTGACTAATTTTTTAAAAATTACTAACACAATTTTAGTAACACACTTTTTCTTGTACAATCCTGAATAACTGTGAATCTAGTTAAAAGCAGATAACTTGGGAGTCCGACAAACCAGAGGCTTGTACCCAGAGAGCTTCCCAGCATTCTTTGTCGGTTTCTGTTACAGTTTTTAAAAGAGCCGTATTAAAAAATCACTATCTGTCTTGAACTGGACACATCAGTGGGTTACTTTTAACACAGAATGTATTATATAAAAAAACAATAAGAACACAGAAACTTAAAACATGTAACACGAGTTAGTGTGTTATTATTTACAGTGTCATTTTTGTCATTTATCAGTATAACTCTCGCTGGTATAGTGTCAGAGCGTGAGGGCGTGCTCTCATGTTAAACGTGAAGTTTCTATTTTACGTGTTATTCTCACCGTGACGGTGTTTAGTGCTCAGGTTTATCGGCTCAGCCTGGAGCTGTGAATGCCAAAAGAATTCGAACAGACTAGAATTAAGCGGTTCTAGATCTGGGGTGTTTATTCACTACCGTACAAAATGGTCACTGTAATATACTGGAGTTGGTTTAATTGATGCTGATACAGTAAATAAGGACGAGTGTTTGACTTAAGTTAACCTGAATAACTCAAGTTGGAGCAGAACGTGTAAAAGTAGAGGCTGCAGCTCGATGAACTCCATTTATAATGACTATATATATATACATAAACAGGTTACAGCTTACATAACTTTGTTTTAGTTACAGATGTATATATGTGTATATGTATACACACACACATATATATATATATATATGTATGTATATGTATGTGTGTATATGTCTGTGTATATATATATATATACATATATACATCTGTAACTAAAACAAAGTTAATTTATATATGTGTGTGTGTATATATATATATATATATGTATATCCGCTGTTGTCGGAAGAAAACCTCATATCTCCATTTTTGTTGTCAGTTTTGACATAATTTGAAAATGTCTGTTGTTCTTTACATTGTGTGTAAATTTCATGATCAAAGGACCAAAAGAAACGACCCAAAATGACTTGGAAAAAAATCTGGTTCCATTGATTTACATTAAAAGTAAGTTAAGAGGAGATATGAAGTTTTCTTCCAACAACAGCTATATATACATATATATATATATATATATATATATATATATATATATATATAAAACATATGAAATATAATATATAACCAAGTAAATTAAGCTTTATCCTGTTAAGTAATTTTTCTGAAGCAATAAGTTTGCATGATTTTAGCCACCTAATTTGTTTAAATTTACATTATTACAAAGTACTTGTGTATATTTGTACTTATACTATATTTGTACACATTTATATATATATATATATATATATATATATATATATATATATATATATATATAGTTAATTAACAGGTTAAAGCTTAACTGTTTTAACTATGTATACATACATATATACACTTGTAGCTAAAACAGTTATTTAAGCTTTAACCTGTTAACTTTATATACAGTATACTGTATGCATGATTTTCTGTCACTCAATTTATGTTTACAATGTTGAACCTTTCCAAAAATCCTAGACAGCACCAAAAAGAGCCAAGTTCCATACACAACACACTCTTGCAACAATAGCAGAACCCTTTTTGGTGTTATATAGAACTGTATTTCCTATCAGTCTGATGAGCCATTTCACCACACAGAGAACCTATTAAGCATGCAAATGGTTCTATACAGAACTCATGGTTCTAGAAGCACTGCTTTTACTAAAGAACCCTTGAAGAACCATCTTTTTTTTAAGAGTGCAGCAACGGAAGAGAACAAGCCTGCAAACACAGTTGTAATAATAGTAGTAATAATAATAATAATAATAATAATAAAAGTCCCCTACGTAAAACGAGTTGCATATTAGGAATTCATCTGTTTCGTACAGCAGAGTGTTATAAAATTGCAGTCTGCAGGCTGCGGCCTGTGTGACCTGAGGAAGTCTGAGAGACCCATAGGAGCCCCTCTGTGTGTGTGTTTTTCCCCACTCTACCCTGATTCGTCTTAAGGCGCTTCTCAATGAAAAGAAAAGACGTCCAAGTTCACACTTCCTATTTACATAAATAATTTATATTATCATCATATGGTACCTGGTACTGGGCGGATGAGTACAACCACGCTAGAAATTTAAATACATTTGTTTGTCCCCCTCCATAAATATTAAACTTAAATTAACCAGCTTAAAGGGGAATCCCATCAACTCTTTCAAAATTTCTGCAGAATTCGATGGCCGAGAGCGGTTTGGTGTGAAATGGTTCAGATGTCTTTCCAGTGGTGGTGATAGGAACCAGGGGTCGCCATGACTACAACACAAATATAGACATTTTATTCACTATCCAGAACCATCACGTGTCTTCTGGGGGTTTATATAGGAAGGTGGTGATGAAAAAAAAATCCTCTGGGGGGGGGGCTATTTTGCCCTGCATGTATCCCTCCGCCATAATTTAAAAAAAAAATGGTGTTTTGGGCCAAATCCTACCACAAAGCAGTGTCTCCATTTCATGTAATAACGCTCTGTGAGGGAGCCTGTAGACGCGCTACGTGAGCCAGATGTCTGGTTCCCATCACCACCATTCAGGCTTCGTTTGCACCTCGGTGATTTGAACAGTGCAGAAATTTTGGATAAGCGGTGGAGCTGCCCTTTGCGCCCCGGAGCTATCTGAGCAGTATGTATAAATAGTTTGTTACCTTTGGCAGATCTAGACTCAGTCTGAGCTCAAAGGTAACAGCGTCCCTTCACAACAACATCAACAACAACAACAAAGTGGTCATTAGTATTAATCCTCGTTCCTCTCTGGGGGTCCTCAGTTTAAGAACGAGCTGGGCGCGACCCTTTTTTGCTGCGCTAAGACCCCAGCGAAGGCGCCGCCGGCACCTGCGGCCGAGAAAGAGGGCAGCGCGGTGGCAAGAGTGTCCGCGAGCAGCGCGCGCGCCGAGCTGGCCGGCTGAGGATGAGGGGGTGGGGGAGGATGTGGAGGAGGAGGTGGGTGCTGCGGGGCGGGGGGCGCCTGCTGTCCCGAGCCGAAGTAGCCCGGCTGGCCGTGCAGCAGCCCCGCGCTCATCCCGCCGTACGCGCCGAACGGCCTCCCCACCTGCACGTCCTCCAGCAGCGCGCCGTATCCGGGGAAGGCCGGCGCCGCCGAGCCGTTGTAGTGCGCGTGGTGGTGGTGGTGGTGGAGCGAGAGGAAGGGCGAGAGCTGCCAGCACAGCGGGCCGCTCGCGCTCTCGTGGATGCCCATGCCCAGCGCGAGCTGCGGCGCGAAGCGGAGCCCGCGCTTTAGCGCCAGCTTGCCCCGCGAGGTGGCCGAGCGCCGGCGCAGCTTGCCGGTGGTGCCGCCGATGAAGACGTCGTCGCTGGACGGGTCGAGCATCCAGTAGTTGCCCTTGCCCGGGTCGTCGTAGTGCCGCGGCACCTTCACGAAGCACTTGTTGAGGCTCAGGTTGTGGCGGATGGAGTTCTGCCAGCCCTGCTTGTGCTCGCGGTAGTAGGGGAAGTTCTTCATGATGAACTCGTAGATGCCGTTGAGCGTCAGCCGCTTCTCCGGGCTCTGGCGGATGGCCATCATGATCAGCGCGTTGTAGCTGAACGGGGGCTTGTCCGGCTTCCCCTCCTTGCCCTCCTTGCCCTCCTCCTGCTGCTGCTGCTCCTTGCCGTCCTTGGCTCCGGGGGGCTCCTCCGGCTTCCTCTCCGAGGGGGACGCGCCGCGCTCCGGGTCCCGCGGAGGAGGCTCGCTCCGGGACGGCAGCAGGAGGCTGGTGATGCTGAACGAGGCGGATCTCTGCACCGTCGTGGCGCCCTGATCTTTCGGATCGCCCATGCCGGGGGTCTGCGCGCTTTTGTTGCGTGTTGTTTTGTGTGGTGCTGTTTTGTTCGGGGGGAGGGGGGTTCCGGGCCGAGCGGGTGAGGGGGCGACGGGATCAGGGCATCGCAGGCGTGCAGCTCAAAGTTGTGGCACAGGCAGGAGGAGCTTTCGGAGCGCGAGAGGGAAATTAATTAGTCATTAAGGAGGTTCCCACTTATCGCGACATAAGCGCAGGGGGCGGGGCTTCCGCTCCAGTTGGGGGGCGGGAGGGTTGTAGTTAATCCATCCGCGCGGGGGCAAAAGTGGGCTAAAATGAAGTATGAGACAGGATAGACTCACTACTCATACTCTCTCTCTCTCTCTCTCTCGCCCGCACGTGTAAGAGCGCTCAGGTGTCATTGCGCCCTCTGTCGACAGAGGACTGTAGGTGCAGCAGTCTCCCCAGTTTATGCACGTGTATGCAAATAATAATAATAATAATAATAATAATAATAATAATGATAACATCAATAATATAACAATAATCATTTATAAAGTACCTTTCATATATTAAAAGTGCAGATCAAAGCACTTCACAAAGTAAAAACAAAAGAGGAAAAAGAAAAAAGATATCTAAACTAATCTAAAACTAATCAACAAATTAAAAATAAACACCAGAGAATCAAAAATAAAATAAACAACAAAATAAAAAATAAGCAAGAGTAAGAAGAGGAAAAATAATCAAAAATGAAATAAACAACAAAATAAAAAATAAAATATAAACAACGGAGGAAGAAAAAAGTGATAATGAAAAATTTAAAAGTAAAATAAAAAAAACAGTAAACAACAGAGAGGAGAGGAAAAACATAATCAAAAATAAAATAAAATAAACCACAGAGGAAGTAGAGAAAAAAGATCATCAAAAATAAAACAAACAACAAAATAAAAATAAGATAAACAACAGAGAAAAAAGATGATCAAAAACAAAATAACAAAAACCATAAAATAAATAAAATATACAACAGAAGAAGAGAAAAAAAAGATAACCAACAATAAAATATCAAAATAAAAAAATAAAGCAAACGACAGAAGAAAAAAGAAAAATAAACAAAAGTAAAATAAACTACAAAATAAAAGTAAACAACAGAGGAAGAAGAAAAACTATAAACAATAAAATATCAAAATAAAATAAATAAACAGCAGAGGAAGAAAAGAAAAAAGGATCAAAAATAAAAAGAACACAATAAAAATGCATCAAATAAAAGCAACAGCAGAGAAAATATAAGAAAATCACATCCAAGCATTTTAAATCTTCGGTCAAAACTTTTACTCCACCATTAGAACCACATTCATTTGTTTAGTATGTATAGTGTAGCAGCGTGTGGTCAGGATGTGGCCAGTTCTGTTAAACAACAAACCCATTCAGCACTTTTGCAGGGGTGGCATTAGAGAAACTTACAGTCAGAGCTGTTCACAGTGGTGGTGATAGGAACCAGACGTCCACCTCTAAAAGCTCCCTCACAGAAAGTTACTGTTTTATGATAGTTATTAGAAGATTTTGGCCTTAAACTCCATGGTGGAGGGATACATAATATTCAGGGTGTTCTAAGGCAAAATAGTCCCCAAAGAAAACGTATTATTTCAGATTTTCCACTATTTTCCATCATCAACATTCCATATAAACTCAGAAGACTCGTGTAGGTTCTCTGGTGGTTCTGGATAGTAAATAAAATGTCTATATTTGTGTTGTAGTCATGGCGACCCCTGGTTCCTATCACCACCACTGTAAAGAAATCGGAACCATTTCACACCAAACCACTCTGAATGGTTGTGATGTAAACAAAGGTGTTCATTTAGAAGAAGAACCCTTTTTGGTGCTAGATAGAACCATCTACAGCACATTCTCTGTCAGTCTGACTAACTATTTTTTTGTTGTACAGAACCCTTTAATCATGCAAAGGGCTCTTTGAGTGTCATAGTTCTATACAGAACGATTTTCTTTACTAAAGAACCCTTGAAGAACCATCTTTTTTGGTAGTGTATCACAGTCAGTTTATTCACTCGTCTGCAACCAAATTGTTTATATTGCTGAAAACATTGGTATCAAACTTCTTAACAACGATTTCAAACTTTTGAATGCTAGTGAACACACTTGAACAAAGATGGTTCTTCAGGGGTTCTCCAGTAAAGGCAACAGTTCTGTTTAGAACCATAAGTTCTATTTAGAGCCATATATATGCTTAGATGGTTCTTTGCATGGTGAATGTGTTGTGTATGGTTCTGTTTAGCAGCAAAAAGCGTTCTTCTATTGTTGCAGGCTTGACATTGTAACAGTATAGAACCTTTCAGTGCTATATAGAACCATTTTCAAAAAGCATCCATATAGAACCATCAACAGCACATTCTCCTTCAATCTAAAGAACCAATTCACCATGCAGAGAATCGTTTAATCATGCAAATGGTTCTTTGAGTGTTCATGGTTCTATATAGGACCATTTTATTTACTAAAGAACCCTTGAAGAACTATCTTTTTTAATAGTGTAGTGTATCACAAGTAGTTTATCTTTTCGTCTGCAACCACATTATTTATGTTGTTGAAAAGATTGGTGCCAAACTTGTTCTTTGAGTGTTCCTGGTTCTGTATATCTGTACTAAAGAACCCATGAAGAACAGTTTATATTTCTCTTTATCTGAAACAGTGCTTGTTATGAAACAGTGCTTGTTGTTATGCTGTAGGTGGAGAGAGAGTGGAGTATTGTTTTGATTTGGTCTTATTAAAATGAAAGGCAAGCCTTTCTGAAAAGGTTCTCCGGAAACTTAATGAGAACCAGAAGTTTGAGTCACACTGCAGTGTGCTCAAGGCCTCCACTGATAAACACACTTATTCTGAAACTTGCTTGCCAGATCATCAAGACGTGATGAACGTAGAGCTATTTTCGGTTGTTCTCCTCATACGTTCTCTCACCGTCTGTCGGTTCTGCTTCATTCTTTGGGTTATTTCAGGGATGCAAAAACTTTTCTTTTTGTCCTGGACGCCAAAGTACGATGTCTGAGGTGGGCCAAGGCCAGAAAGACGAAACAAAGTGCAAATAAGCAAGGTTCCTCAAGGGTTCTTTAGCGAAGGCAACGGTCCTATATATGACCATAAACACTCAAACAACCATTTTCATGGTGAAATGGTTCTTCGGATTAATGGAGAATGTGCTTTATATGGTTCGTTATAGCACACTCTCAGCAAAATGGGTTCTGTGTAGTACAAGAAAAAGGGTTCTTTGGCTTGTAACAATACTGGAACCCTTTTTGGTGCTGTATAGAACCTTTTTAAAAATAGAATCATCCACAGCACTTTCTACATCAGTCTGAAGAACCCTTTCACCATGCAAAGAGACCCTTAAAACATGCCCAGGGTTCTTTTAGTGTTCATGGTTCCAAAAAGTGTTGTTCTATTGTGACGATGCCAAGCCTGTAACAACAGCAGAACTCTTTTTGGTGCTGTATAGAACCCTTTACAACACATTCGGTATCACATTGAAGAACCGTTTCACCATGCAAAGAATTATGTAAGCATGCAGATGGTTCCTTGAGTGTTCTCTCGCTCATTGTCCATTTTATCAGCTCCACTTACTATATAGGTGCACTTTGTAGTTCTACAGTTACAGACTGTAGTCCATCTGTTTCTCTGCATACTTTGTTAGCCCCCTTTTACCCTGTTCTTCAGTGGTCAGGACCCCCATGGACCCTCACAGAGCAGGTGGATCATTCTCAGTACTGCAGTAACACTGGTGGTGTGTTAGTGTGTGTTGCGCTGGTCTGAGTGGATCAGACACAACAGTGCTGCTAGACTTTTTAAACACCTCAGTGTCACTGCTGGACTGAGAATAGTCCACCAACCAAAAATATCCAGCCAACAGAGTCCTGTGACCACTGATGAAGGACTAGAGGATGACCAACACACACTGTGCAGCAGCAGATGAGCTATCGTCTCTGACTTTACATCTACAAGGTGGACCGACAAGGTAGGAGTGTCTAATAGAGTGGACAGTGAGTGGACACAGTGTTTAAAAAAACTCCAGCAGCACTGCTGTGTCTGATCCACTCAGACCAGTGCAACACACACTAACACACCACCACTACATCAGTGTTACTGCAGTGCTGAGAATGATCCACCACCCAAATAGTACCTGCTCTGTGAGGGTCCATGGGGGTCCTGATCACTGAAGAACAGGGTAAAGGGGGCTAACAAAGTATGCAGAGAAACAGATGGACTACAGTCTGTAACTGTAGAACTACAAAGTGCACCTATATGGTCAGTGGAGCTGATAAAATGGACAATGAGTGTAGAAACAAGGAGGTGGTCATAATGTTATAAAAATGGGGAGTCTCAGACTTTTGCACAGCACTGCATATTGTATAAAGGTATGTTTGCACTCTGATTGGGTGAGGAGGCAGAGTTAGGTGGTGGGGTAACTTTCTAGCAGGCCAAATCAAATGTCCTCACGAGTAAACACTGACCCGTGGGACTCACTCCGGGCAGCCTCGGTCTGTGCTCTGGTCATCGTGGTTGTAAAATGGAGCCCATGTTCCAGATCCCAATTGCAGTTTTTGTTTTCCAGTTTTCAGCACATAATCAGATTCACGTAAATAAACAGAGGCCTTGAACGCCGGAGAGGACAAACAAAGCCAAGCGTTTGGTCCTTATTAACATTTCCAGAGCACTTTTTTCAGAGAGGTCTGGCTTTTAATAGCACTAAATCAGAATCGTTTACAGCCTTTTCCACCCGGAGCACAGCATCTGAAAGGGTAAGAACAGGCTGCTATAGACAGAGCAGACATATCAGAGGGCTTAAGAAGGCTCAGTTACCATGTATGATTCAAATAGCATTAACTGTGCCGTTTAGACTAATATATGTAAATGAGCTCTGCTCTGATTGGTTGCTGTGTATTGTACATCATCCATTGTTGTACTGTGTTGCTTATGAGCTAATAAGGTAGGAGCTCTAAGAATATTTGAAGATCTATTCCATGTTCTAAAGTGC